CTACAGTTTTCTATTTTCATAGATCAATAAATCTTAATAAACATTCAGTTTTCCCAGCAGTTCATAACGTCTGATTTTCACTTGATTGTGCACTGATGCATTCAGTATAATAAGCCGCTGTGTGCCATAAAATGATTATTCTTGTAAAAATGGTGAATAGCGTATCTGGCTGCATCTTGCAAGGAGGGGAGGACTAAGCACAGAATTACATTAATTGGTTACATCAGGATTTTGATAGTTTTTGCTGTATTCTATGGCAATGTATACTTGTTCATTCTATTTATAATTTGTATGTAGTGGATGTGGGTTGTTGATCGTGAATTCTTCCTACACAGTGTCAGCCATCCAAAGCTTGGATCTCTTTTATCCTGTTACATTAAATAAGCAGCAAAATAAAGCTACAGGGTCTAATCACTAAACAGTGAACTGGGGTGATGCGGAAACTAATTTCTAAAATTAAATGGACACTATAGTCACCACAACAACTACAGCTTATTGTATTTGTTACGGTGCGTACATTCCCTTAAGGCTTTTTGCAGTAAGCACTGTTTTTTCAGACAAAATTCAATGTTTACATTACAGTGTAGGGATACCTCCACTGGCCACTTCTCAGATGGCTGCTAGAGGTGCTTCCTGGGGCAGTGCTGCACAGTGTGATTGACATTCAGTGTCTTCACCCTCTGCATGGAGACACTGAACTTTACTCATAGAGATGCACTGATTCAACTCATCTCTATGAGGAAATTCTGATTGGTCTGTGTTTGGCTTGTTCTGGTTTTGTCCCTGTTCTGCTTCATATGGGAAACAGGGCCGGACTGGCCCACCGGGATACCGGAAAATTTCCCGTTGGGCCGCGGCACCTGGTGGGATGGAGAGAGAGGGAGCCCCGCTTCCTATATTTTAATAATATCACGGCCAGCGGCCACATGTCGGTGCCGCCAGGTGGCCGGTCCAGCGGCACACTCTGAGGTGATTACTCACCTTGCAGCCGGCGGCCCCATCTCCTGTGCCGAGCATTGGATACACCGTCGACAGAGGAACTCACCGTATATCCAACAAGCGGGGATCAAACCACTGTACGGCCTTCATACCGGAGCGAGTCTTACGCTCTAGCAAATGTGAGTTTTATGTCAACTTTTTATTATTCTTAAATCTCTCAGTTTAAGCATATTGCACTATTTGGGTCTCTACTTTTATTTTATTTTATATATATACCTACGGATTTACACCGAGGATC